CCTTCCGCTGCGGCAGCTGCGACGGCGCATTCCCGCAGCTGGCCAGCCTGTTGGCGCACCAGCAGTGCCACGTGGAGGAGGCGGCGGCCGGGCGCCCACCCCCCCAGGCCGAGGCCGCTGAGGTCACCTGTCCCCAGGAGCCCCTGGCCCCGGCTGCCCCGCCGGCGCCCGTGTCCGCGGAGCGGCCCTACAAGTGCGCCGAGTGTGGCAAGGCCTTCAAGGGCTCGTCGGGGCTGCGCTACCACCTGCGGGACCACACGGGTGAGCGGCCCTACCAGTGCGGGGAGTGCGGCAAGGCCTTCAAGCGCTCGTCCCTGCTGGCCATCCACCAGCGCGTGCACACGGGCCTGCGGGCCTTCACCTGCGGCCAGTGCGGCCTCACCTTCAAGTGGTCGTCGCACTACCAGTACCACCTGCGGCTGCACTCGGGCGAGCGGCCCTACGCCTGTGGGGAGTGCGGCAAGGCCTTCCGCAACACGTCGTGCCTGCGGCGCCACAAGCACGTCCACACGGGCGAGCGGCCGCACGCCTGCGGCGTGTGTGGCAAGAGCTTCGCGCAGACGTCCAACCTGCGGCAGCACCAGCGCGTGCACACGGGCGAGCGGCCCTTCCGCTGCCCGCTCTGCCCCAAGACCTTCACGCACTCCTCCAACCTGCTGCTGCACCAGCGCACGCATTCGGCCGAGCGCCCTTTCGCTTGCCCCATTTGCGGCCGGGGTTTCGTCATGGCCGCCTACCTGCAGCGGCACCTGCGGACTCACGGCCCGGCCTCCACTGCGGGCCCCGCAGGCCCCGTCGGGCCGCAGCTCCCCGTCCCCCTGGCCGCCGCTCCAGCCCCCCTGGCCACCCAAGATGTCCACGTTCTCCCCCACCTACAGGCCACGCTTTCCCTGGAGGTGGCCGGGGGCATGGCGCAGGCTCAGCCCCCAGGCCCAGCTGCGCCCAACTCCCAGACCTTCCTGCTGGTGCAGACCGCCCAGGGCCTCCAGCTGATCCCCAGCAGCGTCCAGCCTTCTACCCCTCCTCCCCCACCCGCCCCACCCAAGCTCATCCTACTGCCCCCTGCCAGTGCGAGCAGTGGTGCGAGGCAGAGCCCTCGGGCCCTGGGGAAAGCCGGACAGGGGTCAGGAGTGGTGTGGCTGCCGGGCCCGGGTGGTCTGGGAGTGCAGGGGGGGAGCGGCGCGGGGGCTGGCGGGGCAGGGCAAAGCCTCATTGTGTTACAGAATGTGGGGAGTGGGGAGGCAGGGCCCCAGGAAATGAGTGGGGTCCAGCTTCAGCCTGCGCAGGAAGTGACCACGGTCCAACTCCAGCCTGCGCAGGAAGTGACCGCAGTCCAGCTCCAGCCAGCCCAGGAAGTGACCACGGTCCAGCTGCAGCCCCTGGCAGGCCAGCTCTCCAACTCTACTGGGGGAGCTGTGGCTACCGAAACCCCAAACCTGCTGGTGGTTCAGAGTGGGGCAGCTGAGGAGCTACTCACCGGCCCTGGTGGCCCTGGGGAGGTGGGGGACGGGGAGGCCAGCACCGGTGTGGTCCAGGATGTCCTGTTTGAGACCCTGCAGACAGACGACGGCTTGCAGAGTGTGCTGGTATTGAGCGGAGCAGATGGTGAGCAGACCCGGCTCTGTGTGCAGGAGGTCGAAACTCTGTCCCCTGGGCTGACCGAGGCGCCAGCCCCCAGTCCAGCGGGACAGAAACTCCTCATCATTCGCAGTGCCCCAGCTACTGAGCTGCTGGAAAATAGCAGCGGCCCCGGAGGCGCCGCCACCCTGCAGCTCCTGGCTCCGCCGGCTCCAGTGCCCGCCTCTGCCCCCGCGGGAGTGCCCATGGCTCCCGCCTCCCAGATGGTACAAGTGGTCCCTGCAGGTGCTGGGCCAGGGGTCATGGCTCCCCAGGGCCTGCCCTCCATCCAGATTGTACAGACTCTGCCCGCAGTCCAGTTGGTGCACACGTTCTGAAGACTGACACCTCTTGGCGCCATACAGAGAACCTCCCAACTCCTGGTCCTCAGCTGGGCTGGGGTCAGCCCCAGAATCAAGGGGCTGCGGGCTGGGCTTCTCAATAAAGACCCGGTCTCTCTTCGTGCTTCTGTTTTCTTGTGAGGAGGGGAAAGCCACGGCCTAGCCCTGCCTGGGAGCGAGGAGTCCACTCTTGATGGCTCTGAGATGATCTGCTTTAGCGTTTGGGGGCTCGGTTACTATCTTCTACATTTTTACTTATAAAAACATGGTGTTCATATGTGTGTGCATTCGCGTGGCGGTCAAGGGACAACTTGGGGGAGTCCGATCAAATTCAAGGTCAAGTTTGGCGGCAAGAGCCCTTACCCACCTGAGCCATCTCTGCGGCCTTCCCCCATCTTTTAAAGGTGTGTGTGCGCGCGTGTCCCTGGTCACTAATAGTAGGGGGACACTGGAATCAATTTCCTAGTTCCCCACCGGGTTGACATGGAGGTCCCTGGGGTTGAGATGCTGCGGAGCGCTGCCCCCACCCCTTCCTGCAAAGGCCCGGGCGCCAATGAGACTGGGTTTGCACCCTACGCCGCCTCCTCGCGATGCTCAGGTCGCTTAGCAACGAGGGCTGTTCGGAAAGGAGCTGTGCTAAGCTTTCCCCAGCTGGGTAAGTAGCCCTTCCTTTCCCAGCGGCTTGCAACTGCCCCCTTTCCGCATTGCTCCCTAGGGTCGGGGAGGAAGCTTCCACCGGGGTCAGAGCTCTCTCTGGCCTTCACAGTTCCCTCGCTCCCCGCACCCCCTCTCTCACTAGCTGGGGAAGCTTGACAACAGTTGCCAAGGCCGACAGCAGGCGCCGCCCCGCCCCTGCTACTCTGGAGTGTGGACGTCACTTCCGTCGGTGACCCCCTTCCCGACCCTGTTAAGGGATCGCTGCGACCCGTGGAGGTGCTTGCGGGCCCTTGCTCCTGCTGCTCAGGACCGGGACCACGGCAGGGGAGGCGGGGGCTACTGGCGCGGGGCGGGGGCGCGAGTGAGCCCCTTACTCTGGCGTGTGGGGAGGAGCCTCGTGGACCCCCGCTGCCAGGTGTTGACATCCAGAGCGAATTTAGGGTCGGATCGCTGAATGTCCTCCCCGGAGGACATTTATGGACGTTGGGGAGACCTTAGGGAGGTCCCTGGGTTTGGGGGCGCCTGACCTGCCATAGTCCTCTTCGGGGGCGCCCCAGAGCCCTTGTGATGTTATCTGGGAAAAACTGCAGCCCGGTTCCGCGCCCCCAGGGCTCTGAGGACTCAGGTGCCCAATATGACGCTGAACCTACTTGTCTTCACCAGGTGCGCAACGCCAGCTCCCTCCTAGGGGGCGGCGGCCTGGGGGCTACCATGGCCCCCAACCACCTGTCAGTGCGGGAGATGAGGGAAGATGAGAAGCCGGTGGTGCTGGAGATGCTGAAGGTGAGAGGCAGGCAGACAGACAGGTGCCCACTGAGCCTGCGCAGTTGTTTAGGGTCCTTCAAAGTGGGCTCCGCCAGCCCCGCCCACCTGCCCGAGCCAGCGGGGCCTCTGGAGGGCATCTCCTTCTGGTCTCGGCCAGTTTTGCTTGGTCCCTCTGGCCGTGTATGCCTTCTCCCTACTTGCACATGAATTCTTCGGTTTTGGTTTTAGCAGATGGAAGGGTGTGGGGGCTAAACACTCAGGCCTCCTGACCCGTAGTCGGTCCCAACAGCCCAGTAATCTAGCCCTGTTCCCACCCCAGACTCCTGAAAAGAGTCCACAGCTTCAGTTTCCCTATTCTGGCTTCCCTGGTGCCTGACTCCCGGCATGCTCTCCGGATTCATGCCCCCCACAGCTCCCAATTTCCTCATTCATCCATCCAGCTGGGCTAGACTGGCACCCCTCCAGCTGTCCTTCCTTACCATTTGGGGGACCCCTTCCCCCAGAGCCTAGGTCCGGGGGCTCCCACCTAATGCATGGCTGAGCCCCCACCCCCCCACACCCACAGGCTGGTGTAAAGGACACAGAAAACCGTGTGGTCCTCCACGCCCTGACACGCCCGCCGGCCCTTCTCCTCCTGGCCGCAGCCAGTAGCGGCCTGCGCTTCGTCCTGGCCTCTTTCGCTCTGGCTCTCCTGCTGCCCGTGTTCCTAGCTGTTGCCGCTGTGAAGCTGGGGTTGCGAGCCCGCTGGGGCTCTTTGCCTCCTCCAGGTGGCCTGGGGGGCCCCTGGGTGGCTGTCCGGGGTTCTGGTGATGTGTGCGGAGTCCTGGCCCTGGCCCCTGGCGCCAACTTGGGGGAGGGGGCCCGAGTCACCCGCCTCTCCGTGTGTCGTTGGCACCGCCGCAGGGGAGTGGGTAGGAGGCTGCTGGCCTTCGCAGAGTCCCGGGCTAGAGCCTGGGCAGGGAGTATTGGGGAGCCCCGGGCCCGGCTAGTGGTCCCAGTGGCTGTGGCCGCTTGGGGGGTGGCAGGGTTGCTAGAGGGCTGTGGCTACCAGGCTGAGGGGGGTTGGGGCTGCATGGGCTATACCCTGGTTAGGGAGTTCAGCAAGGACCTGTGACTGCAGACCATGCCCTCTGGGGAGATAGATGGGCAGAGAACCAGTACCTAAGGAGGTATACAAATATGCCGGGCACTTTACACCCCCTCCCTCAATTGCTCCCCAGTCTGCTCACAGCAGCCTTGCCAGGCTCAGAGGGGCTGCTGAACTCAGTAGGATGAATCCTTTTTTCCCTTCTGGGCCCCCAGGGGCCACTAGAGGTCAGCCGATCCAATCCCTGCCTTCCAGGTCTGTCTGCACTGGAAAACCTGTCTGGGCCGGGTCCTGTAAAGTCCCTGCTGTGTGAGCTCTAGGCCTGGGAGGGATATTTAGGGAGAGTGAGCAGGCAAAGCCGGCTCCAAGAGTTAGGGTCTGCATCTGGGTACTTCCCAAGGGGACAGGCCTCCCGGGAGTGGGTGGAGCTGCGGGGAATGGGCCTCTGGGCCCATATGGTTTTTTACATTGTTAATAAAGCCTGAAACTGCTGTGTGCCTGTCTCCTGTCTGATGCCTTTTCCAGCCGATCTGGACCCTCTCCTTCTGTCTGGCTCCTCCTTTCCCAAGTTGACATTAATTGCTAGGGGAATGGGGTGGGGGAGTGGGGGGGCTGAGCTGGGAGAAGGGGAGGCAGTGAGCTCACTGCAGTCCAGTCCCTGCCAGGCCTTCTGAGTCATGCTCCCCATTACTGAAGTTTTTCCCCTCACAGCTGCTGGTGTGTGTGTGTGTGTGTGTGTGTGAGAGAGAGAGAGAGAGAGAGAGTGTGTGAGTGTGTAGTCCCCCTCTCCAGACCAAGCCTTGGCCCTTGGTCTCCCCTCCCTCCATACCTGTGTATGGGACTCTCAAGTTCACAGATAAGGACTGGAGGCTTTCCATTCAGATTCACCAGGGTGGGTGTCAATTGAAGAGGGGTTTTACAGTTTCTTTTCTAATCCAGGAAGTCTCTCCTAGGGTCTGGCTGTAGGCCCTCTCGCTACTGTGGGAGTGCCTCAGATCTGCCCACTCCCAGCTGCAATTCCCTGGCTCAACAAAGGAGGAGGCAGGAGGGTGTGCCCCCAGCCCTGCTGTCCCCCAGACACCCAGGCCTGCCTGACCCTTCCCAGAGTCAGTCTGCCATCCCCCCTAAGCATCCTGAGCATGTGGCCCTCTGGAGCCTAACTGGCCACCTCCCTCCACTGTGGGTGTTTGCTCTTGAACACCTCCCTCCCCGCCTGCTGCCGGTCCCCCTCCTCCCCAGCCTCAGCTGTGGCCAGCCCCCTCCCCCCTCCTGTCCCCTGCTGCCTCCCTGCAGCCTCTCTCCCTCCTGGCAAAGCCTTCAGACCTTCTAGATCTTCACTGTCTAGGGCGCCCCAGCAGGCGCTTCCCTCCCTCCTTTCCTCCCTGGCTGCCTCCTCCTCCCCTCCCCTCCCCTCCTTCCCCTTTCACCCCAACCCCTGCCCTGGACTCTGCAAACATGAGGGTCTTGGCCTGCCTCCTTGGTGAGTGACCCATTTCTTGGGTAGGGGGATGGGACTTAGGGGGTCTGAACTCCCCCATCTCTGACCTTTTAGCTCATCCATTTCCTGAAGCCTGCTGTATTCCCTGGTGCCCTGGGACACCCTGACATTTGGCTGTCCCCTCTAATTTTTCAGGGACCCAGACTTGTGCATGCCCTGCCTAGCAACCCTAGGGATCAGCCCTCTGCATGCCCTGGCCTTGACTCTGTGGGGTCTGACCCCACCATTAAGTTCTGGTCTCCAGCCCTGACTTCAAGGGCCAGGCATGTGGGGCTCCATCCGCCCCAGGGACCTGCAGTTCAGCCCAGCCTCCGCCCAAAGTTCATTACAGCAGTGGGGTTTCTGGCTTAGAGGTGTGAGCAATCCGTATGTATGTGGGTGGATGTGTCTCACTGAACTCAAGCTGGGAGCCTGAACTGGGGAAAAGGCCCCCTCCCCCTTGGGCCTGCTCCTCACTCTGTCCCCTCCAAACTCCCTTGCAGCAGCACTGGTAGGGATCCAGGCTATCGGTAAGTGTCCTGACTTTCCTCCCATCTGGCTTTGCCCAGCTCCAAGCCAGCTGCTGGCTGTCCACCCCAGGCCTTGCCTCACCCTCCGGCTGATCCCTGGCCACCCCTACTCCACTTTGATCTCCAATACAGCCCCTCAACATCTCTGAGACATTCTTCTCATGGGGTCCAGGATCCAGCCTCCCTGGGGCAGCTGGCTTCCTGATGGTACTCAGCAAGACAGTCCCCTGCCCTTACTGTCACCCTGGTCCCCAGCTTCAGAGTACCCCTGTCTGGAGTCACAACTTTCCTTCCATCCCTCAGAGCGGCTACGCCTGGCTGATGGTCCCCATGGCTGTGCAGGCCGCCTGGAGGTCTGGTACAATGGGCGCTGGGGCACCGTGTGTGACGACGGATGGGATCTACGGGATGCTGCAGTGGCCTGCCGGGTGCTGGGCTGCGGGGGGGCACTGGCCGCCCCTGGAGGGGCATTCTTCGGGGAGGGCTCTGGGCCCGTGTGGCTTAGTGAACTGGCCTGCCGGGGCAATGAGGGGCACCTGGGCCTCTGTCCCCACCGGGGCTGGAAAGCCCACATCTGCTCTCATGAGGAGGATGCAGGCGTGGTTTGTGCAGGTAAAGAGACACATACTCCTGGTGATAACCTGGGGACCCCTAAGTTTTTAGTTTCTCCAAATCTGAGCTGTCTAGCAGCTCAGAGATGCCCAATCCCTGCTCCACATAAAGCCTCATGTTCCACTCCCTCTAGGAACCCCCAATTTACAATCACTTATTTCTGTTGTTTTGAGACAGGGTCTTATTATGTAACCCTGGTTGGCCTGGAACTTGTTATGTAGACCAGGCTGGCCTCTAACTCACAGAAATCTTCCTACCTCCAAAATGCTAGGAATAAGGTCAAGCCAGGCCATAATCACTTTGAAACCCTAGGGAATTCAGATGTCCCAACCCCTGCTCCTGTCCCAGGGACCCAGTAGCCCCTCTGGTCCCCCCACCTTCCTTATAACTTCAGTTCTTTCCCATAGGTCAGCGTGTGGCTAACTCTAGGGATGACACAACATCCCTGCTGGATGGGGATCCATGGTTGGCACTGTCTGAGGAGCTAAGCCCCAGCTCAGAGGAATCCCGTGTGACTCATGGTGAGCCCAGAGGACTAGGCCACCCGTCCTGCCCTGTGATCCATCTCTGCTGTGAGGGATGGACTGTTTGCAATGAGAGTTCCCCTCAGCTCCACTTTCCCAGGAGCTACTTTCTTTTATCACCCGGAAGTCCTCCATCACTTCAGACCCCTAGAAACGTATCCCCAAACAGATACCAAAGAGTGTAGAAGGAGGAACAGCTCAATTCCTGACCTGGTCATGTGTCCCCTTCCCAGCTCCCCGCCAAGCAGCAACCCCCCAAAATGCCTCCCGAAAGAAGAACCCTCGACCACCCAAACAGGCCAAGTCCACCCGGGCCCCTGTGCTGGGAAGCGGAGGCCCCCGCCAGGGTAAGTCTTCTCTTAACCTCCCCTGTTCCCCAGATCTGTGTGCTATGAGTCCGTAGACTCTGCCAGGCTGAGGGTATCAGACCACTTTCCAGACTGAGACCCTCCAATGAACCCAGTGTTCACTGTGTTCTCCCTTATGATTCAGTCAGAGCTGGCCACTCCCTCTTCTGCTGGATCCATGCTGTCAGGAGACCCAGGGGTTGCACCTAATTCAGATGGTGGCTCTCTTTCCAGGATGAGCCAGCTGACAGGCAGACCTCAGGTCACTACCCTTTTTGGGCCTCAGTTTCCCCAGGTGGAGAAAGAAGAAGCTGCTTCCTCCAAACTGCCATCAGACATAGCCCTTCACTGACCCTCTTCTTTCCTATCTGTCCCCCCAGAGCGGATGCGCCTGGTCTCAGGTCCCCATGGCTGTGCTGGTCGCCTGGAAGTCTGGCACGGTGGGCGTTGGGGCACTGTGTGTGACGACGGATGGGATCTTCGAGATGCCACAGTGGCCTGCAGGGAGCTGGGCTGTGGAGGGGCACTGGCTGCCCCTGGGGGTGCTAGATTCGGGCCTGGTGCAGGACCTGTGTGGATGGATGATGTGGGATGTGGAGGAGGAGAACAGGCCCTCCGGGACTGTCCCCGAAGCCCATGGGGCCGGAGTAACTGTGACCACACAGAGGATGCTGGGCTTGTCTGCAGCGGTATGCCGGGGCCGAGGGCCGTTCTGACACTCCACCCCCCCAGGAAGTGGTGAAAGGCTTGGCTCCAAGTCTGTCTCTACCCATTCCCTGTAGAAATGGGAGAGGCAGGGGTGAGGCCTCTGTCCGCTGAGCCTCAGTCTCCTTGAGGGGGCAATGAGGCTAGAATACCTGCCTCACAGGCTGTTTACAGCAGAGCCTTCAGAAGCAAGGGGCCCTGCTTGCCCTCTGCACATGGCTACCTGGCCTGGTTCCCCTGCTCGGAGGTCCCTTGTCTCTATGGGTCAGCCAGGGAGCTGAGGTAGGAAGAAGGGAGGGGAGTGGTCTAACGGTACGGAGAGAAACAGGTGGAGTAGGGGCACTAACAAGCAAGCCTTGCCTCCCTGCCACACCCCGCTTCAACACGGTGCCTAATTATCTTCCTGAGTCTTTCCCCACCTGTACTGGGTGAAACTGGGACAGGGGCTGGGGGCTGTTGAACAGCACTTGGGGTGCTCTCCTTTTACCCTCCTCTTTCCTCTAACTCTGTCCCTTCCTTTTCTCTTTCCCTTCCCTGTTGGCGTGACTCAGCACCTGTTCACCCATCCGAGTTCCTCATAGGTCTAACTCAGCACCTGTCCATTCATCCTCACTCCTCATAGATCTAGTTCGGTGCCTGAGTACCCATCCTAGTCTCCCTTCTTGATACAACTCAGCACCTGCTCTCTCATCCTAGCTTCTCATCTCCCTGTCCTTCCTGCCCCTCTATCCAGGTCCTGCACCCAGGCTACGCCTTGCTGATGGCCCCCATGGCTGTGCTGGCCGCCTGGAGGTGTGGCATGGCAGTCGCTGGGGGTCAGTGTGTGATGATGCCTGGGATCTTCGTGATGCTGCTGTGGCCTGCAGGGAGCTGGGCTGTGGCAGGGCGCTGGCTGCCCCAGGGGGTGCCTTCTTTGGGGAGGGGGCCGGACCCATCATCTTGGATGATCTCCGTTGTCGGGGAAATGAGACAGCCCTGCGATTCTGCCCGGCAAGGCCCTGGGGCCAACATGACTGTCACCACCGAGAGGATGCTGGGGCCGTGTGTGATGGTGAGGGGGCACGAGTGGGGACCTCGGGGAAGGATGGGACAGTGGGTGTCGTAGCAAGTGGATGGTCAAGAAGCAGTGTTGTCCCTGTTCACCCTTCCCTTCCTTTGTGAACCCCCCACTTTCCCCACCTTCTCTTATGTAAAATCTTGGGTCTCTCTAAGGAACATTGGATATTGTCTATTTTTATTTTATTATTATTATTTAATTAATTTACTTATTATTTTTATTTTATGTATATGCGTGTATTGCCTGCATGTAGGTAAGTGTACCTGTGTCGTGCAAAGCCCTCAGAGGTCAGAAGAGGCTGTTGGATCCTCTGGAACTGGAGTTAGGGATGGTTGTTAGCCACCATGTGGGTGCTGGGATTCAAACCCGGGTCCTCTGCAAGAGCAGCCAGGGCTCTTAACCACTGAACCATCTCTCCAGCCTGGATATTGTCTATTTTTAATGTATTACCTTTATTTTATGTGCATGAGTGTTTTGTTTGCATGTAAATGCACCACCTGTGTGAAGTGCCTTTGGCAGTCAAAAAAGGGCATTGGATCCCCCGGAACTGGAGTTACAGTTGATGGTTGTTAGCTGCCATGTGGGTGCTAGGAACCAAACTTGGGTCCTCTGTAAGAGCAGAGTACTCTTAACCACTGAGCCATCTCTCCAGCCCTGGATGTTGTCTGGGTTTTGATGCATAAATGTGGGGGCTCCATCTTCTTGCTCCCAGCAGAAGCCAATCCTGCCCTCTTATGGATGCCTCTCCTCTTCTCGTCCACCTCTAAGCTCTGTCCTTTTCAAGCTCTCTCTACCCTTATTCCCACCCACCCACATCTCTCTCTGGGTTAGGGATGTGGAAAGCCTTGGGCTACTCTGTAGGAGGCAGCTCTGGAGGGGGCGCTAATCTCCTTTTTCCTATCCCAGGCATGCCCCTCGGCTATGTGTTGCCCACAGCCCCTGCAGTGGACAGCAACAGTTCAACACCCAGGGAGGTGGCATCCAGGCCCCTGTCCACCACAGTGGGCCAGACCCCAGGCCCAAGAGTCAGCTGGCCTCCTCCAGCCTCTCCTACTGCCCCTCCAGAGCCTGGGCCGGAAGCTGGTGAGTCCCTCTTTGCTCTTGCTGAGAGACTGTCCTATGCAAACCTTCTTGAAAAAAGAAAGCTAGAGAGGCAGAGCCTGGGTCCTGCTCAGAAGGTTGTGTGTACTTGGTTTAGTGTTCTGCTGACATCCTGACATCAAGGATTGTGTCTGAACAAGAGCCCTGTCTTCTGTAGCTAGCCTTGAATAGAACTATGGGGTGAGGGGAGAGTCTACAGGCTCAAGCTTCTGGCTTCTTGTGTCTGGTGATGTGACTATGTAACAGAGAACTGTTACAATGTCTGCTGTCTCTCTCCAAGTAACAGCTCAGCTTAAGAATTCTCTTGAGGATCTGGAGAGATAACCCAGTAGTTAAGAGCACTGAATGCTATTGTAGAGGACCTGAGTTCAGTTCCCAGAACCCACACGGCGGTTGACAACCATCTGTAATTCCAGTTCCATGGATCTGATGCCCCCTTCTGGCCTCTGTGAGGATTGCATGTATGGGTGCACTTACATACATCCAGGCAAAACACTCATACACATAAAATAAAAATAAATTTAAAAAAACTTTAGAAAGAATTCCCTTGAGGAGCTGGAAAGATGGCTCAGCAGTTAAGAGACATCTGCTCCAGAGGACTGGAATTCGGTTCCCAGCGTTCACAGGGCATAACTCCAGTTCTGGGGGATCTGATGCCTCTGGCCTCTGAGAGCACTTGCACTCATGTACACACACACACACACACACGCACACACACACACACACCACACAAGAAATCTGTTGGGACTGGTGGCATGGCTACACAATGAAAAAGATAAAAATAGGGCCAGGCATGGTTGTGTACACCTTTAATTCCAGCACTCAGGAGGCAGAGGCAAGAAGATCTCTGTGAATTTGAGGCCAGCCTGGTCTACATAGTGAGTTCCACACCAGCCAGGGCTAAATAGTGAGACCAACTGTGACTCAAAAAATTATAAATAAGTAAACAAACAAATAAGATCTGTCAAAAGTGTGGTAAGATAGCCATATGTCATGTAGTATTTAAAATATTTTATTATTTTTATTTTATTTTATGTGTATGAGTGTATTGCCTGCATGTAAGTGGACCCATATTGTCCAGTGCCCATGGAGGATATCAGATGTCCTGGACCTGGGGTTACAGAAGGTTGTCAGCCACCATGTAGGTGCTAGGACTTGAACCCAGGTCCTCTGCAAGAGCAGCCAGTGCTCTTAACTACTGAGCCATTTCTCTAGCCCTGCCACATAACATTTTATCCAACAACAGACCACACACAATGGTGGTCCCCTAAGATTGTTTCCTAGTGAAGTCTTAGCCATCTTCATCTGCTTAAGCACACTCTATGATGTTCCAATAGCAGTGAGACAGCCTAGTGACGCCTTTCTCAGAATACAGCCCCATTACTAAACAATGCCTGGCTGTTTATATAACATACAGTTTACCATTTTAACCATTTCTAAGCAGACAACCTGATGCTATTTATCACATATTGTTACACCACTATCACCATTGTCCATCTCCAGAGCCCTTCCACACCCCAAATGGAAACTGCTTCCTTATCAGACACTAACTCCAAATTCTCCCCTTACTTGGTCATCTTACCTGCTTTCTGTAGTATTAGAACCTAACCCTAGCATATGCTAGACAGGCACTCTGTCACTGAACAACGACAGCCCCAGTCCTTGGGATTTTGTTTTGCTTTGAATTTTTAAAATTACATTTATGTGGTGTGTGTGTGTGTGTGTGTGTGTCTGTCTGTCTGTCTGTCTGTCTGTCTGTGTTTGTGTATCCAGAAGCGGGGGGGATGTGCCTGTGCCAAGGCACATATATGGAGATCAGAGGCCAACTTGTGGGAGTCAGTTCTCTCCTTCTTCCATGTAGGTCCTAGGGATCGAACTCAAGGTCATCAGGCTTAGTAGCAAGCACCTTTGTCCAGTAAGCCATCTTGCCTGCCTGCCTGTTTACTTCTTTGGTTTTTAAAATTTTTTAAATTTTAATATTTTATTTGTTATTTTTATTTTATGTGCATGGTATATTGCCTGCATGTATGTGAGTGCACCTGTGTTGTGCATTGCTGCGGAGGTCAGAAGAAGCCTTCAGATTCCACTGGAACTGGAGTTAAGGACAGTTCTTAGCCACCATGTGGGTGCTGGGAATCGAACCTAGGTCCTCTGCAAGAGCAGTCAGTGCTCTTAACTGTGAGCCATCTCTCCAGTCCACTTCTTTGTTTTTAAAAAATATTTTATTTATTTTTATTTTTATTTTATGTGTATGAGTGTATTGCCTGCATGTGTGTACACGTATCCATGTCATGCAATGCACTCAGAGGTCAGAAGAGGGCTTTGGATCCCCTGGAACTGGAGTTACAGATGGTTATTAGCTGCGATGTGGGTGCTGGGAATTGAACCTGGGTCCTCTGCAAGAACAGCCAGTGCTCTTGACTGCTGAGCCATCTCTCTAGCCCCTGTTTCCTTTGTAAAGGCTGAGTGATATTCTGTTGTGTGTCTAGACCACATTTTATTTTAATTAGCTGATTAGTTTATTTATTTTCTTTTAAGATGTGGCACTAAGAATGGAACCTAGAGCCCCATACGTTTGGTGTGCACTTTACCATGGGGCTGTACACATCATCATCCTTTCAACAGTTGATGGACATTTAAGTTGTTTCCATATCTCAGCTCTTGTGGCTAGTGCTGAATTGAGTACAGGGATGCTCGTGTTTCAGACCCTGATCTCCGTTCTCGGGCTGTATAAACATTGCTGAATCCTAAGATAGTTCTGTTTATAGTTTTGGAGGGAAGTCCGCAGGTTTCCATAGCAGCTGCGCTGTTTTTCATTTCCAGCAGCGAATAAGGTTCCAATTTCTTTCTTTCCTTTCTGTCTTTCTTTGCACCTTTGTTTCTTTGATGTGTGTGTTGTATATACTTGCTAATTTTCTTTCTTTTCCTTTCTTTCCTCCTTCCTTCTTGAATTAAAAAAATACATTTTAATTTATTTTGTCTGTATGTGTGATCATACACGTGTGCATATGCATGTGTTCGTGTGTGCGTGTGCATGCATGCACAAGTGTGACAGCATGTATGTGAAGGTCAGAGGACAACTTGTGGGAGTTGGTTCTCTCCTTTCTACAATGCAGGTTCTGGAGATCAAAATCACGTCATTAGGTTTGTGGCAAGTGCCTTTACCCACTGAGCCATCTCGACAGCCCCCCCCCCTCTGTGAAAGGTCATTCCTCAGGTGCCACCCACCTTGTGATCATCTCACTGGCCTGGGGCTCACCAATTAGACTAGGCTGGCTGGCCAGCAAGCCTCAGGGGTCGTCCTGTTTCCACCTCCTGAGAACTGGGATTACAAGCACACTACTAAGCTAACTTTTTAATACAGAAACTGGGGCTTGAACTCGGGTCCTCATGCTTCCAAGGCAAGCACTTTATTGAATGAGCCACCTCCCCAGCTCCTCCCAGTTGATCATTTACTTTGCTGTGTCAAGGGTTTAGTTTGATTTAGTCTCATTTGCTTTTGTTTTTCTTTCCTGTACTTTGGAGACCACACCCATGAACTCCTTGTGGGAACCAATGCCACCTTTTGTTTTTTCATTTACTAAGCAACTTTTAGGACATTTCCACCTTTGGGTTATTGTGACTAATGTGCCATGAACACTTACATATAAGGATATGTTTACATATGCTTTCAAGTTTTAAAAAAGTATATTTATTTACTTTTGTGTGGGTGCACTTATGTTCTGTGGTCAGAGATCAGAGGACAATTTACAGGAGTCAATTCTTTCCTTCCACAGGGTGTGGGGCATTCCAGGGGTTAAACTCAGGCTGTCAGGCTTGGTGGCAGGTGCCTTTACCCACTGAGCCACTTCACCAGCCCTCTTTCAGTTTATTTGGGGTATATCCCTAACAGCCGAATTTCTGTATCACATGGTAATTCTATATTTCACTTTCGGAGGAGATACCCAACCATACCTGACTCTTGGTCCCTCGTGATCAAAGCAGAGACCCTCATAAATACCTGCTGCCTGGAAAAGATTAATGAGGGAAGCCCAGGCGGATGAATGGATGGGTTCATGGAAAGGAAGATGGAGGGGCGGGTGGATGAAGAATCAGAGGGCCAGGGGGGCTCTTTGTTTCTAACTCTTGGCAATTTTTGTTTTCTATCTCAGGGTCCCCCCAGCTGCGCCTGGTGGCTGGGCCTAACAGGTGCTCTGGCCGGCTGGAGGTATGGCATAATGGGCGCTGGGGGACAGTGTGTGATGACAGCTGGGACATGCGAGACTCAGCTGTGGTCTGCCGGGAGCTGGGCTGTGGAGGACCTCGGCAGTCAGACCCTGTAGCGGGTCGCTTTGGCTGGGGCGCAGGCCCCATCTGGCTGGATGATGTGGGCTGTGTGGGAACAGAGGCTTCGCTGTCTGACTGTCCTGCTGCTTCCTGGGGGAAACATAACTGTGCTCACAATGAGGATGTCGGGGTCATCTGCATTGGTGAGGACCCTGTACCGTCTATCTGCTGGTGTGGGAGGACTTCCTGAATGTCACTGCTGATGAAGGCTGGCATTAACTTAAGTGCCTTCTAAGCCCCAGCCTTGTGACCGCATTCAAACTGCCTAAGCCTAGCTAAAGTGAGGGCCAGTTAAAATCAACTAGGCAGTATATTTGTTTGTGTGCTTGTTCCCCCACATTTATAGAGGGCTACTCTTCAGTGCCAGACACTGAGCTAGGTGCTGGGTGCTCAGAATGGAATGAACATAGTACAGGTCTTTGAGGGGAAGCTCATGGCTCATGAAGGGAAAGAGGTACACAACAAATCATTGAGAATCCATGTGAGAAGGTAAGGATTGGGGGATCCCCAAGACCACTTTCAGGTTCAGTCATTTGCTACAAAGAGTCATAGAAATAAGAGAGGCTGTTCTACTCTGGACTGTTTTTCACCACAGTGAACTGAACCCATGTCCTCTGTAAGAACAGCCAGTGATCTTAACTGCTGAGCCATCTCTCCAGCCCCAGAATTAACTTTTTTTAAAGGTAAAAAAGGGGGCTAGAGAGATGGCTCAGTGGTTAAGAGCACTGGCTGCTCTTGCAGAAGACCCGGGTTTGAATCCCAGCACCCACATGGCAGCTAACAACCATCCATAACTCCAGTTACAGGAGATCTGACAGTCTCTTCTGGCCTCCACAGGCATTTCATGACACAGGTGCACTTACATACATGCAGGCATAACACTCATGCACATAAAATAAAAATAAATAAATAATTTTTTTGGGTCTTTTTGAGACAGGGTCTCCCTGTAGCCACAGCTGACCTGGAACTCACTATGTAGACCAGACTGGCCTTGAACTCACAGACTGCTTCTGCCTCCTGAGTACTGGGATTAAGGGTGTGTGCCACCACAGCCAGTTATAAATAAATTTTTTTTTAAGTAAAAGAGGGCCTGGAGAGATGGCTTAGTAGTTAAGAGCAGAGACTGCTCTTGCAGAGGACCTGGGTTCAGTTCCCAGCACCCATGTCAGGTGACTCATAGCCAGCTACCTGTAACTCCAGCTCCAGGGGATCTGGTGCCCTCTTCTGGCCTCCATGGGCAACAGCATTCATGCGCATATACCAACCCGCATACACACGATTAAAAATAAAAACAAAATCATTTTTGAAAAGTGAAAATGGGGTTGAAGATGTAGTTTAGTGGTAGGACACCTGCCACGCATGCACGAGGCCCTAGGTTGGATCCCTAACACTGAAAAAAGAAAGAAGAGAGAAGGTGGGGACATTCATCAGAAGGTATAGGAAGAGAGGCCCTGATTCCAAGCAGTAGCGGAAGGGTGGAGAGGGTGTGGGTAGAGGGAGGATGGGGGTCAGTCAACCAGACTGTATAAGTGCTAAAAAGGCACCGAGTGGTGTGGGGTTTGGCGCAGCACAGAACTGCCAGGTTTACAGAAGGTGTTCAGTGAATATTTGTGGCATGAATGGGGCCTTGGTGACTGGCCAGAGGAGAGCGGCCTGGGCAGATGATCCTACCATTGTGGTGTCTCTATCTTTTTGCTCCCTTCTGACCTCTCAGGGACCCCCGGCCTGGACACCATCTCAGACCCCTTCAGTTGGAGCTGGCTCCCTGGGTTGGGTAGAGATCAGGATGCCTGGCTCCCGGAAGAGCTGGCCACCAAGCCCTCTGCCAGTCACACCCCCGGTGTGCTGGAGAAAACCACAAAGGCTCCAGGGAAAGTGCAGAAGAGCACTAAGAAGTGGGTGACCAAAAACACAAGGAGACCAACCACTCAGCCCCCTGGGATGCCAACCACTAAACGCACCAGAGTCCCAGGCACCCTAAACCCCCCAAATCCAACTTCACGTACCTCTGAGTTACCCAAAAGACTGACCACTGAGGCTCCCCACAGACGGACTTCACATACCACCTCAAAGCAGACCCCTCAGGCACCCTGGGAGTGGACCTCAGAGACTGTGGCAACAGCAGCCACTCAACGCCCCCAGACCTCCCTGGAGCCATACCCTGAGAGCCCAGAGGGTTCGCTGGAGTCATCCAAAGATCCAGCCCCCACCCCCACTACTGGAATCCCTGTGGAATCAGGTGAGTGGTAGAAGGCAAAAAGGTTTGGGGGCAGCATGGAAGGTCCCCCTCCTTATCCAAGGGTTTTCCACCCTTAGGCCCCTTCCGAGTTCGTCTGGCTGATGGGCCCGACAGGTGTGCTGGCCGGCTGGAAGTGTGGCATGCTGGACGCTGGGGGACAGTCTGTGATGACAGTTGGGACCTGCGGGATGCCACAGTGGCCTGCTGGGAACTGGGCTGTGGAAAGGTCCGGCCCCGAGTGGGCAAAACCCACTATGGCCCTGGGACTGGACCCATCTGGTTGGATGACATGGGCTGTAAGGGGAGCGAGACGTCACTGAGCGACTGTCCCTCGGGGACATGGGGGAAACACAACTGTGACCATGAGGAAGACGTGGGCCTCACCTGCACTGGTACCTAGGAACAGGAGGGGAGGAGGCTAAGGCAGAGGAGTCAGGGTGGGGTAGGGCGACAGTCTAATATAAGAAATGTGCCAGAGTTGGGACATGGAGGAGTTGCTCCAGGGGACTCCAAAGGGGGAGGGGGTGTGAACTGAACTGTGACACAGGGGACAGGGCCAACTGCTACCCAATTTCTCCCCAGGCTACACAGATGATGATGATTATCCCACCTGGACCTGGGACCCCATTTCCGGAGAGGAATTGGCCAAAGGGACCACTGTGCCAGCACAGTCTGGACACACTCTTTCTATTGGTACCATCAGGCACCCGGAGTTCTCCTCCACGGCAACACAGAGCCGTCCAGATACAGGTGAGGGGCTAATATGTCTCCTCTGTAAAACATTCTCTGTCCTGTAAGGTTCTGAAAAGATCCCTCTTGTTTAATTACATTGCTTTAGTGTGTGCACCTGCATGTGTGTACATACATGGCCACAGCACACTTGTGGAGGTCAGAGGATAACTTGTGGAAGTTGGTTCACATCTTCTACCGTGTTGGTCCTAGGGGTCGAACTCAGTATTCAGACTTGGTGGCTAGTGCTGTTACCACCGAGCCATCTCAGTCACTCTGTTTTTTGAGACATGTTATCCCAGGCTGGCCTTGAACTCACTATGTAGCTGAGGCTGGCTTTGAACTGACCCTCTTGCCTCCACTTCCCAAGTTTTGGGATTACAAGTGTATGCCACCGTGGCTAGCCTGAAAGATCCTTCCACATGAGCTGGCCTAGGCCTCCAAAACCCTGGATAGACTTTCCCTAGGGCCATCAGACACCCTCCTTGGACTGGACAGTAACCTGCACAGTCTGGAAGAAGTGACACTATGTGACTCTGAGAGATGAGGGGCTCAGCATGTCCTGAGCGTACCACAGTGACCAGGAAGTGCTCATAACGCACCAGCCTGGGCCCCTCAATCCAGTGCATCTGGAAATGACCCAGAACCCTCAGCTCCGGGCTGCCCTGTCAGCACATCAGTGTTTCTACCTCAGCCACCCCTAAAGCAAGAGAAATCTCACTCACTCTGGCCATTCATACTCTGTCCTGGTCAGGTTCTGTCTTGCACCTGGGGCCAGGTTTACCTCCTTCCCTTCCTGACTCTGCCCTTTCCTAACTGTGCCTTTCTACTCTGGCTTCTGTGTCTTTCCATCTCTGCTGCCAGCCCTCCCTCCTCCTCCCTCTCCTTCTCCCTCCCCCTTCCTTCCGCTCTCCCTGTCCCTCTCTCTCCCTCCCTCCCCCTTCCTTCCCCCCCCTCCGGCTCCCTTCCTCTCCCTCCCTCTTTCTGTTTCCCTTCCTCTCCATCTCCCCCTCTTTCCCTCTCTCCACACCCCCCACCTGCTTTCTTTCCAGTTTCCTCTGCCCTCTCTCTCCAGCCCTGCCTCTCAGGGCCCTAGTTTCTCTCCCCATCTTTGGTGAGGGGGGTGGCATGTTT